CATGCAGAAAAAAATGAAGTTTTGCAATTTGCAGTAACATACGTCAAGTTGGAGGACTTTATGTCAAGTGCAATAAATCAAGCAGGGAAAGACAAATACTGGATGATATCCTTTATATGTGGAACCTAAAAAATACAACAAACTTGTGAATGAAACAAAAAAAAAGCAGACATAGAAAATAAACTAGTGGTTACCAGCAGCAAGAGAAAAGGAGGAGAGGGGCAATATAGGGTCGAAAAGTAAAAAATAAAAAGAAAACAAACAAACAAAAACACATGGGTTCCAGGGAACCAAGGAAAGAATACACATTTAACAAAAGGTTAATTTGCTTTAGAAAGTAATGGGTGGGGAATGCAAAGAGTAAAATGATCTGTATAATCTTTTCTTCACTTTAGATCATAATTCTCACATTTGTGCTTACCCAACTAGCATTTATTGATTCAACTTCTTCCTAATCAAATGAGTGGTTTTAACATTCTGGTTGGAAACTTCAGGTAAGAAATTTTTAAATCTTACAATAAGCAGTATGTAAGCAATGCATAATGTATACATGGACTTTGTATTTTCTTCTAAAAAGTATCAGTCATTACCAGGTTGGTAGTTAACTTCTTATTTGTTTTATTACTTCTCTTTAAAAAAATGTTCAGGTTTTTTTGAGATAACTTGAGTTCCTTCCCACCTTGACTTCAGTGTTACACTTCACAATAACTTTGTAGATATTAAGGGCATTGTATGATAGAGCAACAATTTGTAAGTTTTATCTAAATGTGAGTTCAAGTGCCTTTTTAGAGCTTCACTCCAAGTGGAGAGTTTATTTCTTCCTCCTTAGCCAACACAAAAGGAACAAATAAGATTTATACTAATGGACATTGAAAGCAAATGTGATTCTCACAAGTGGCTACTTTGTTCTCTAAGGTAAAACATGAATAAAGATTAGGTTGTCATCCTTGGTGGGTATTTTATTTTTTTAATATTATTCAGTGAATTTTTTATATCAAAAAATATACACATATCTCAAATAAATCTCAAATGAGGTAAAAGTGGTTAGAACTCAGTCGTGTCTGACTCTTTGTGACCCCATGGACTGTGGCCTTCCAGGCTCCTCTGTCCATGGGATTCTCCAATCAAGAATATTGGAGTGGTCAGTAGTTCTTCCTGACCCAGAAATCAAACCCGGATCTACAGGTTTGCAGTCAAATTCTTTACCGTTTGAGGCATGAGGAAAGCCCACACAAATCTCAAATAAGTACATAAAGTCAAATTTATTTATTAAAAAAAGAAAATTTAAAGTTTCTTTAAGAAAATCCTGTTGTGTAAAAAATAACCAATTCTGGTATTTTAAATACTATGCTTACTTCTTTTACGCAATTAGGTAAAGCACATATTTATTATCATCATTTATGGGGGCAGCAGAGGATGAGATGGCTGGACGACATCACCAATGCAATGAACATGAACTTGGGCAAACTTTGGGAGCTGATGAGGGAAAGGAAGGCCTGGCATGCTTCAGTGCTTGGAGTAGCAATCAGTTGGACACTAATGGGTGACTGAAAAGCAACATGATAAAAACACTTGTATATACTAACCTTTGTTTACATTTGTTAGCTGTTTCTTTGATTTGACAAATATATTAACCATAGTTTAGCTGTATTCACTCAAAAATTTTCTGGAAAGAGTGTATCGGCTTTTTAATGCTGTTAAGATCAGAATAATTAAAATCACATTTTCAGATCCTCACATTGGAAAAAAAATATTTTTACAACCTCTTTAAATTTCTATGATCAATATAATTTTTTCATTTATTTTCTATTAGCTCAAGAACATAAAGAAATCTAAAATTTAACCTCAATAGTTTGACAAATTTCTTAATAACTTTCACATTACTGAGATTTTTTAAAGCCAAAAAGTTTATGACATGAGTGGTTTCTTTTGTGTACATTGCTCATCACTAACGTCCGGATACTTCTAACCAAGACTTCTCTATCTCTATCACCCCATCTGAAAACAGTCTCTACTCTGTATAGCTCTGAAATATTTATCTGATGACCTGCATCATTTCATCTGAAGATACTCAGCATTTTCCCCAATTAAGAAAAGGAATTCAAAGAGAAAGCTAATAGATTTTAAGCATGTCTTTCTCTCCAGGCACTACTCTTGCTGCTTAGTCAGCATCATTTTATTTATTTAAAGATGTATTTATCTTATACATTTTATTTATAATTTCATAATTTATAGTATCTATTATATAGTTGTTCATTTATTATATGTTACAATATTTTATTATCTATTTTATTGTATGATTTTACACACACAAAAAGCATCTTGTTTTCAATTATCATTTTCTAGATAAAAAATCTAAGTCTCACAAATACTAAGCAGCGTAATGTCAAGCTAGGATTTTTTGGCCTCTGTGTGTGTGTGTGTGGTGTGTGTGTGCTCAGCGGTGTCTGATTCTTTGGGACCCTGTGGACTACAGTCTGCCAGGCTCCTCTGTCCATGGAATTTTTCCAGGCAGGAATACTGAAGTGGGTTGCCATTTTCTCCTCCAGGGGATCTTCCCGACGCAGGGATTGAACCCGGGTCTTCTGCAACCCCTGCATTCTCTACCACTAGCACCACATGGGAAACCCCGCTTTTAGCCTATCTGATTCTAAAAACAATTTTTTTAAAAATAGCATCATGTTGACTTTAATATGGGCTTCCCAGGTGGCAGTCCTGGTAAAGAACCTGCCTGCCACTGGAGGAGACATAAGAGATGTGGATTCGCTCCATGGGTCAGGAAGATCCCCTGGAGGAGAGCATGGAAACCCACTCCAATATTCTTGCCTGGAGAATTCCATAGTCAGAGGAGCCTGGTAGGCTACAGTCTATAGAGTAACATAGAGTCAGACAAGATTGAAGTGACACAACTTCAATATACTATGCTACTTTTTGTTACATTTATGTACACAATTTTTTTCATGTTCCTCTGAGAGACTGTAAGATGAATGTAAGACTGTAAGTATCTTTTCAATTCATCTTTTGCCTAGTAGGGAGTTCTATGCTTAGTAGGTACCTAATAGACACATATAACCTGAATAAAGACAATATCTTAGTTGTCTAAAACTGGATTTGATTCCCTGCTAGTAAATAAAATGAACAAAATAGCAGTACATTGTGACCAGTTGTTCATCCTAATGGATCAACTATTTTAAAGTTTCCTGGCAAGTGACCATGGACCACGGGGACTCCAGCAGCTGGATATTTTGTACATACTATAAAATCCTACTGCACAGAATCTTGAACTGAAATCCATCCCATGAACTGTCTTTTATCACTTTACTAAGCTTTGAATACTATTTTGTAAAATGTAGCAACTGTTTTAATAAAGCAATTGCTGTTTCACTACAGATTATCTTTGGTGATGTGGAGCTCAGAAGCAACATCACTAAAAAATATAGGATTTCTAACTTTGATAGATTTATTAAAACCAAATGAGTCACCTTTACTTATTCACAAACATACATATGCACAGCTTTCATAGGGATCATTTGACTGGGATGACTTGATTCTGCATTATTCTGTATGAGTTACACAAATTTATATTGCACATTTTATTAATATACTGTGTCAACATGTTTGGCATAGTTTATGGTTCGTGTGTATACACACACACACACACACATATATGTGTATATATATATATATATATATATACAGGTGCCTTATAGTTGTTAAAAATACATGATATACTTTCATGAAGTTATCTATCCTAGTGTTTAATACAGTAGGTTCTGGGGGCAGAGAGCCTTAAGACTATTATTACCAGTTCCTTTATTTTGCTTTATGAATTTATCAAGGTACTCAACTTCTCTGAGGAATGATTCCTTTTTATTTGGGAAGAAATTATAGCACCTACCTCACTGGATTTTTTTTCTTCTAGTGAAGAATAAATGAGGTTAATACACGTAAGGCACTTTGCATAATATATGACACATAGTGGAGCACTTAAATGCTAGCAACTTTAAAAATCTGAGTCTAATTGTAAAGTAGTTATTCACAAAGACTTAGCTAACTTTTAAGCAGCACTTTCAACAGATGCATGCTTGAATTAGCAATTTTCCTCAAATAGCTCCAATTCACATGTAAAATTGTCCACTGTCTCTTGTATATATTACTTGTAAGTAGTTTATTTAGTAATTTTTTGTCAGTGATTCATTAACATAAAATATTTTCCTAAACATATTATTAAAGTACCAATTAACATTGCAGTCACTTATATTTGTTTGTACTTTCAATTTTGTAAGTATTCCTTGCAATAATTTTATCTATTAATGGGACTTACCTTCTGACTCAAATGGCAAAGAATCTGCCCACCACGCAGGAGACCTAAGTTTGATCCCTGTGTCAGTAGGAACCCCTGGAGAAGGGAATGGCGACTCACTGAAGTATTCTTGCCTGGACAATTCCATGGACAAGCCTGGCAGACTATAAACCAGGGGGTTGAAAAGAGCCAGACATGACTGAGTGACTAACATCATCTATTAGTAATTAAAAACTTCTTAACAAGCTTAATTATTGCTAGTGACATTATAAAATATATATTAAATATTAGCAAATCTATAGCATTAGCAACTCTACATTTTTGAGTAAGTTCGACTCTATCTGGAGTTTTGGTACCTAGGTCTGAATGGAGAGTTGAAATACACAGTATCTTTAAGCAGCTTAATAGTAATAATTTAACAATTATAAGATGCAAAGGAAGGGTTGAAGGATCAAGTTCAAGAAAAGCATAAGACAGCAAGATTCAAAACCAAAGCTAAAGCAACAGGCTGAGAAATGACACAGTAAATCTGTAATTGCCATAAAATTATGATTATAGACCTACCACAACTAATGTCATTTTTTATAGAGAAGTTTTGAATCAAAAATGAAAAGTAATTTGTCTTTCCTTTTTGCTTAAAAAGCAGAGAAATTTGTTTGTGTCACACCTCATCGAATCTTCTACATCAAGCAACATCATGTTGAACAAGATCATTCTACTGTTGTCTCTTCAGATAAGTCTCCTAGGAACCACTTTTGGCGGGAATGTTCTGATTTGGCCAATGGAAGGTAGTCATTGGCTAAATGTTAAGATAATTATAGATGAGCTGATTAAAAAAGGGCATAACGTGACCGTTCTAGTTGCTTCTGGTGCACTTTTCATCACACCGACCACCAGCCCATCTCTGATATTTGAAATATATGAGGTACCCTTTGGCAAAGAAAGAGTAGAAGGAGTGATCAAGGACTTTATTTTGACCTGGATGGAACACAGACCATCTCCTTTAACCATCTGGAGATTCTATCAAGAGATGGCCAAAGTCATGAAGGACTTCCACATGGTGTCCAGAGAAATCTGTGACGGTGTTCTCAAAAATGAAAAGCTAATGGAAAAGCTGAAGAAAAGCAAATTCGAGGTCTTGGTGTCAGATCCAGTCTTTCCTTGTGGTGATATAATAGCTTTAAAATTGGGAATACCATTTATCTACTCCTTGAGGTTTTCTCCAGCCTCAACAGTGGAAAAACACTGTGGGAAGGTACCATACCCTCCTTCCTATGTTCCTGCTATTTTATCAGAACTCACCGACCAGATGTCTTTCACTGACAGAGTAAGAAATTTCATTTCCTACCATCTACAGGACTATATGTTTAACACTCTGTGGCAATCGTGGGATTCCTACTATAGTAACGCTTTGGGTATGTTGCATTTTTATTATTTAAGTTTGAACAGACAGAGCTTTGTATCACTTCTTCTCTGTTTCCCTATGGCTATTCTTCTCCAACCCTATGTATTGATTGCTATCTATTACTATCATTTGCTATCAAAAATGAAGATAAGAGACACTATGCTTTGGAGCTACAATGTGCTGTTTTCTAATTTTATGGATTTGAAGATACCCAATAAGATTTTTTTTTTGGATAACATTTTGTAACAAATACCAAAGTTTAAAGTTTATTCTCAGTTAGATATTGTATTGAAAACAGAAATTGCCTAGAAACTCTAGTGGGATGTGGAAAAACCTGGAAGAAATTAAGCTTTCTACAAGCCCATTACCAGTATAAACATTTGTGCACGTGTGTTGAAAAATATTATATGTTTATGAAAATGTTTGATTGTTGCACATAGACTTCCTACTGTGTACTAGACACTCTCTAGATAGGTTACAACAAGGGCTGAGGTCAAGTTCCTGGCTTCAAGGATTTCACAGTCAAGCAGAGAAACCAGACATAAAAATGAATATTTACAATATAGATGATATGAGTAATGGAAATAAGTATAAAGGACAGAGATAGTATTAGATTGGCCAAAGAAGTTTCTTCAGATTCTCTCATGTCTTATGGCAAAAATATAAAGGAGACAAGCGGTATGTGATAAGAGAGTGTTATTCTAAAAACTTCAGAATTGAGGTGTTCCATCTCAGAAGGAAATTTCAGGAATTCCCTGAAAACTAAATGTAGGGAAGGAAGCAATGTGCCCAATATTGTGGAGTCTTAAAATAACATATGTGTGCTGGATATTATTGATGGTTCAGCATTCAGTATTCATGAAGGTTAAAGTGTAAAAGTCAGGAAGCATGAGGAATAACTTTGGAGATGTCAGGACAGCAAGAATGAATTTTTCAATATGTATTTACAAAGCCTCTAGTATGTCATGCTAAAAATTTTGGATTTTAGCTAATAAATAGTGGGAAAGTTTAAAGAAATGCATTATGATTGGACAGTATTTTATTTAAAATATTAGGTAGTTGTGGACCTCGAATGGAAGGTTGTTAAACATAGGCCATTGCATCACTCCTGGAAAGATGTGATAAGAGCATGCATGAGTGAAGTAGCTTATAAAGAAAGAAAAACAATGCAGATAATGCATTTAGGAGAACAGGCTCATGATAACCAGTTTTCAATCAGGAGTGTGTGACCATGGAGGTGTAATTAAGCTTCCTTGTACTTGCAGTTATTTATCCAGATAAGAGGGCTACTGAAATAACTGAGTTAATGTATAAAAGGATTTTAAGATAGTGTCTAGGAGCTAGTGACCAATCAATTTGTATTACCTCATTATTAGGTAAAATTAATGAAGTGATAATTGATTGGTGTGGAGTATTAATAAGGATAAGGAGGAGATTAATATGGTTTTTTCTTCAGATATTAATTGACATGCATGCATGCTTAGTGGTGTCAACTCTTTGTGATCCCGTAGACTGTAGCTTGCCAGGCTCCTCTGTCCATGGGATTCTCCAGGCAAGAATACTGGAATGGGCTGCCATTTCCTTCTCTGGGGATCTTTATGAGCCAGGATTCAAGCCTGTGTCTCTGACATCTCTGCAGTAGCAGGTGGATTCTTAAGTACTGAACCACCTGGGAAGCCTGATATAATTGACATATAACATATTACTTTCAGATATACAGCATAATGGTTTGATCTTTGTATATATTGCCAAATGATCACCACAATGAGTCTGGTTAACATCACCCAGCCAGCACATAATGTTTTTTCCTTGAATTAGTAATTTAAAAATTAACTCTTCCAGCAGATTTCAACTATACAATACAGTTTATTATTATTAATGATAGTCACCATGCGGAGAAGGCAGTAGCAACCCACTCCAGTACTCTTGCCTGGAGAATCCCATGGATGGAGAAGCCTGGTGGGCTATAGTCCATGGGGTCGCGAAGAGTCGGAAACGCCTGAGCGACTTCACTTTCACTTTTCACTTTCATGCATTGGAGAAGGAAATGGCAACATACTCCAGTGTTCTTGCCTGGAGAATCCCAGGGACAGAGGAGCCTGGTGGATGTCATCTATGGGGTTGCACAGACTTGGACACGACTGACGTAACTTAGCAGCAACAGTAGCAGCATAGTCACCATACTGTGTGTTATATCCTCAGGACTTATCTAAATATTTTAAACTGGAAATTTCTACCCTCTGATCTACCCTCTCTCCTCTAATCTCTGGCAGCCACCAATGTGTTCTATGGTACCTACAAGTTAAGGTTTTATTTTTCTATCTGACATTTCATTTAGCACAATGTCCTCAAGGTCCAAGGTCCATCCATGTTGTCATTTGAGATTTTTTCCCTTGCTATGTCTAGATAATATATATGTGTATGTGTGTGTGTGTGTGTGTGTGTGTGTGTAGCCAAGACATGAAAACAACATCAATGAATAAATAAAAATGTGATATTACATTTAGCTACTGTAAATGATGCTACAATTAACATGGGTCATAGATATTTTTTGAATTTAGAAATAGAGGAAAACAATAGAATGGGAAAGACTAGAGATCTCTTCAAGAAAATTAGAGATATCAAGGGAACATTTCATGCAAAGATGGCCTCAATAAAGGACAAAAGTTGTGTAGATCTAACAGAAGCAGAAGATATTATGAAAAGGTGGCAAGAATACACAGAAGAACTCTACAGAAAAGATCTTCATGACCCAGATAATCACGATTTTGTGGTCACTCACCTAGAGCCAGATATCCTGGAATGTGAAGTCAAGTGGGCCTTAGGAAGCATCACTATAAACAAAGCTAGTGGATGTGATGGAATTCCAGGTGAGCTATTTCAAATCCTGAAATATGATGCTGTGACAGTGCTGCACTCAATATGCCAGCAAACTTGGAAAACTCAGCAGTGGCCACAGGACTAGAAAAGGTCAGTTTTCATTTCAATCCCAAAGAAAGGCAATCCCAAAGAATGCTCAAACACCCACACAATTGCATTCATCTCACACGCTAGTAATGCTAGCATGTATAATGCTCAAAATTCCCCAAGCCAGGCTTCAGCAATAAGTGAACTGTGAACTTCCAGATGTTCAAGCTGGATTTAGAAAAGGCAGAGGAACCAGAGATCAAATTGGCAACATCGCTGGATCATCGAAAAAGCAAGAGAGTTCCAGAAAAACATCAAAAACATTGACTTCTGCTTTATTGACTATGCCAAAGCTTTTGACTGTGTGGATCACAATAAATTATGGAAAATTCTGAAAGAGATGGGATTACCAGACCACCTGACCTGTCTCTTGAGAAACCTGTATGCAGGTCAGGAAGCAACAGTTAGAACTGGACACAGAACAACAACTGGTTCCAAATCAGGAAAGGAGTTATGTCAAGGCTGTGTATTGTCACCCTGCTTATTTAACTTATATGCAGAGTACATCATGAGAAATGCTGGGCTGGATGAAGCACAAGCTGGAATCAATATTGCCGGGAGAAATATCAATAACCTCAGATATGCAGATGACACCACCCTTATGGCAGAGAGTGAAGAAGAACTAAAGAGCCTTTTGATGAAAGTGAAAGAGGAGAGTGAAAAAGCTGGCTTAAAGCTCAACATTCAGAAAACTAAGATAATGGCATCTGGTCCTGTCACTTCATGGCAAATAGATGGGAAAACAGTGGAAACAGTGGCTGACTTTATTTTTCTGGGCTCCAAAATCACTGCAGATGGTGATTGCAGCCATGAAATTCAAAGACACTTACTCCTGGGAAGGAAAATTATGACCAACCTAGACAACATATTAAAAAGCAGAGACATTACTTTGCCAACAAATGTCCATCTAGTCAAGGCTATGGTTTTTCCAGTAGTCATGTATGGATGTAAGAGTTGGACTATAAAGAAAGCTGAACACAGAAGAATTGATGCTTTTGAACTGTGGTGTTGGAGAAGACTCTTGAGAGTCTCTTGGACTGCAAGGAGATCCAACCAGTCCATCCTAAAGGAGATCAGTCCTGGGTGTTCATTAGAAGGACTGATGTTGAAGCTGAAACTCCAATACTTTGGCCACCTCATGCGAAGAGCTGACTCATTGGAAAAGACCCTAATGCTGGGAGGGATTGGGGGCAGGAGGAGAAGGGGACGACAGAGGATGAGATGGTTGGATGGCATCACCGACTCAATGGGCATGAGTTTGGGTAAACTCCGGGAGTTGGTGATGGACAGGGAGGCCTGGTGTGCTGCGGTTCATGGGGTTGCAAAGAGTCAGACATGACTTAGTGACTGAACTGAACTGAGTCTTCATTTCCTTTGATAAATATCCAGAAGTGGAATTGTTGTATCATATGGTAGTTCTATCTTCAGTTGTTTGAGGAGCCTCCATACTGTTTTATACAGTGAACTGTGTCAATTTACATTCCTACCAACATTGCACAAGGGTTCCCTTACTTCACATTCTCACCTACATTTATTTTTTTATTTTTTTGATAATAGTCATCCTAAGATGATGGTAAGGTAATAGCTCATCATGGTTTTGATTTTCATTTCCTTGATGATTAGTGCTTTTGAACACCTTTTTGTGTTTCTGTTGGCCATCTGTGTGTCTTTGGGAAAATGTCAGTTCAGGTCCTCTTACCATTTTCAGTCACATTGTATGTATTTTTGTTACTAAGTTGTATAAGTTTTTATATACTTTGGATATTAGCCCCTTGTCAGATATATGATTTGCAAATATTTTCTCCCATTTGATAGGTTGCCTTTTTATGCTGTTGACACTTTACTTTTTTTGTGCAGAAGCTTTCTAGTTTGATGTAGTCCTACATGTTTATTTTTGCTTTTATTGACTTTGCTTTTGGTAACAAATCCAGAAAAGCATCCCCAAGATCTATACCAAGATTAGTGCCAATGTTTTCCTCCAGGAGTTCTGTGGTTTCAGTTCAAACTATAAAAGTCTTTAATCCATTTTGAGTTAATTTCT